CATCTCACCTGAAGAAGCATGTTGTCCGTGTGTTTCCTAAACTAAAGCAAGGCCCGTTGGTTTAGGCCAACGTACATCACCAGTCCATTCCTCTGGAGAGGAATAAGTTCATCCTGCAGGCGCAGGATCCCGGGATTTTGCAATCCCACAGTCCACAATGGGCTGCGCCAACGGAGTTACGGCCACGTATTTCCCGAGGTCGCTGTCAAAGTAGTCCATCTCCTGCCGGTCGTAGAAGTGCCTGGCCAGGAACCGCACCCGCTGCGTCCCGTTGAAGAAATGGCACTCGTGCATCGTCTGGAGCAGGAAATGGGCTGCGGGGAGGGGGGGAGCAGAAAGAAGAAAGCCCTCAGGAGGGACTCCAGGGCCCATCGTTCCCAGCGGCTACTAGAGGAGGGGCGGAGCGACGGGAAGGCGGAGGGGCGGGAGACCTGCCGCGAGGGACTGCCAGAAGGCGTCCCCTGGAGGAGGGATGTGGAACCGTCGGTTCCAGCGGGATTCCCCCTTGTTGGGGGTCTGGGGGGGGGAAGGAAAATGAGGGAGGGGGGAAAAGAGCTTCCTGAGGGACCCCCCCTCCATCTCCCCAGGGTGGAAAAAGGCAGGCAGAAGTTCAGCCGGTCCAGGCCTCCGTCTGTCTGCAGGGAACGCTGGATCCCGGTGGGCCCTCTTTGCCCCCCCTTCCCAAACCGGCAGGAAATATAGGGGGAGGGAAGAGACCCCCTCCTCTCGGCTGGAGGGAAAATAATATCCAAGCTTCTCTCTCCCTCTTCCCTTTGGGAGCAGAAGGGAAGGGGGTCACAATCAGGATACCCACACCCATGCTCCTGGGCTCTCCCCGCCCTTCAAGCCCCCCTTCCCTTTTCCCCCCTCCCCCCATCTTCAGCCCTACAAGCTGCCTTTGGGTGCTTTTCGAGGCCTCTTTCCTGTCCCCTTCCCAAATAGACCCCCTGCAGCCCACCAAGACCACCTGAAAGGGAGGGGCCCCAGCTTGTTGGAATATAGCATAAGTCACTCCATCTTGTAACCTTCATTATGCTTAATTCTACACTTCTTCATGCCTATGTGCCTACGTGTTAGGCTGCAATCTGCAGCTGCAAACACGTAAGGACAGACAACTAAGAAGCAAGTCAACAAAGCTGTCTACACAAGCTATAATATTATCACTTCCTGATAAGACCTTCCAGTGTGAACCACAATGGCAACTTTTCCTGAACTGTTAATTGTATAAGCCATGTAATAGATAAGATACATTTTGTAAAACTTTGGCTGTCTCTAACCTCCTAAACTTCCCCTGTTTGCCTCCCCCGGCTCA